CGAGGACGGGGGCCTTGGATGGGACCTCTAGAGGGGGCGTGAGGGGGAGTGCGGGCTGTTAGGGAAACGGGGAAGGGTGGGATTTCTGTGGGAACGATGTGTGCGACTTGTTTTTCTCATCAGTTGCTAATACTGAATACTAATGCGTGTGATTTTTTTTTTTAATCCGTTGATTTCGATTTAACATTTCAAAAACACGAACCCTTTACGTGACCCGTTCACCTTTATACCGTGGAGTACGTGCGCAATTCATGTACCACGGTCTCCCATTGTTATAAACAAACTAAGAAATCTGTTTCGCATTCTTCATAGTGTACGCTCTGTGTTTTTCAGCGTAGTCTCCATCTTAACATTCTGTCTGTTGTCACGTTATTTTTGTCAGACTTTTCCTTCAGAAATTAAAATCATTCATACCTCTTAAATTGTTGAACGACTGTACAATTTGGTATGCCCAGGGCATCGCCCACTGTCAGAAACAGAAGCAGCAGTCTGTCTGGTTTCTGTTAAATTCTAAGCTAGCATTTAGAAAAATTGTTTCTGGGTTCCTTTAAGATTGTAATTTTTCACTTCGAGGGATCTTAAGACCATGCTTCAGGGATACCATTTTAGTGGAATTATTTTAAACCAATTCATATTTCAGCTAGAACACTAGAATAGAGTAGGCATATCATTTATTAACATGTAATGCCTCAGTACTGTGCTTCATTCATCAGGTTCTCATAAACAAATCATCCCAATGTGGAATATAATGTAGAACTGGCTAATTCCAAAGTCGGACATTTTTTATAACATTCTTTTAAGTGTATATTCCCCAATGTTCACTTGCATACTTAAACTTGTATTTGACAATGACCAGTTTATTGATCATAAGATATCAAGATGTTTATATTTTGGATATTTATCTTGAAACCTTGTTAAGGAAGTCACAAGAGTCCTAAAGCAACTGATTACTTCTGTTTAATCAAAGTAGCCTTTCCCCATCAACCCTTATCATTTAGAACATTTCTCTAGGAGTGGTAGAGGAAAAGCAGAAAAAATACAATAGAATAGCGTTAGAAAAACTGCTTTATCAAAAAGGTTAAAAGAGTCAGAGAATAACTCAGAAAGTAAGAAAATGAGGAATCAAGCAAGGACCACAAGGAAGAAAAGAAAGCATTAAAATCCCCATGTTACATGATTTTTTATTTGAATGTTAAATAATTTTGATTTTGATGACTTGATATTTCAGTACTATTTTGGTGTCCATCTGCCAACTTAGTCTTGTATTTGAGAGAAAGGTAATTCTATTGTGGGTTATTATCCTTACAACATATACGCTGTTACTAATCTTTCACTATGATGTAGAAACTGAGTCTTTAGTAAAGCATAACCCCTTGTCTAAAATCAGCTAGGATTTTAACACAGATAGTCTAACTCTACAGCCCATATACTTAATCACAATATATCCAGCATTGTGCTACAGTGCTGCTCAGCCTGCCAAGAAAGGGTTACAGATATGTCAAGATAGCTGTGCACAATATGGCTGGAGGCTCCCATTGTGTCAGGAGCAGCTTTGCCATGTTACCAAAGTGTGCTTTCTGTATAAATGTGCTTTTCTGTGAGCTCTGTGATGGAAAAAGGTTAGTACACACCAGTGCGACCCCTACATAATACTGCAGTTCCAGTCTTGTAAATAATTCTTACAAGTACTCAATATGTTTTTTAAATCTCTTTTTGTTGTGAAGTAGGGTATAAAATACAGTATTTCATTTTTTCTATCATTAATAGTACTATTGAAAACAATTACTAACATAAAAGCTCATTTTGTAATTTTAGACCCGTCTTATATGAGGGAAATTATTTTGACTAACCAGCTTTTTTCTTTATAGTTTCTTGCAGAACATAAGTTATTAGGAAACATTAAAAATGTGGCTAAGACAGCTAACAAGGACCATTTGGTTACAGCCTATAACCATCTTTTTGAAAGTAAGGTGAGTATTATTGTATTTTATTGCCAGAATATCATTTTGGATATTCCCCAAAGTAAGTTTGAATGCATTTATTTGAAGTTTTTACACTTGCAATTTTGTAACCATAAATGGACTGGCTGTCAAATCTACTGAAGCTAATCTTCAATTTAGCAGGATGTTTTGATATTTTGAAAGGGATCAGATTTTTAAAATAATTCTCTAGTAGTTTAAGACAGCATATTCTTAAAGGGCACTGAAAAATTATAAATCTGAAGTAAGATCCACTTCATTAATGAGTTTAAAGTCTATTAGATTTACTCTGAACCTTTAGAAAAATAAATTTTAAACAATTCCCCAATATGTGTTCACTATGAAATGACCATCTTCCACAGAAAAGAATATTAAGGAGTTGTTTGAATAGTATTCATCTCTCTTAAGTCATGGTTCTCATTTCTGAATTTACATTGTGAGATGGTTTGAGGTTCAGAATTTGTTGATTAAAATGCTTAACATAAGATTCTTCCTTTGTTCTTAGGCAGTTTTTATTTACATTTGAGTAATGAAACCTGTATTTTCTATTCATGGTGCAGGTAGATGTTCATTTAATTGAGGCTGAATATCTAGATGTCTCCTAGCTTTTAGCAATTCCTGAATATGATAAACATTAGAATATTTTCCTTACAGCGTTTCAAGGGTACTGAAAGTATAAGTAAAGTGTCAGAGCAGGTGAAAAATGTGAAGCTTAATGAAGATAAACCCAAAGAAACCAAGTCCGAAGAGACTCTGGATGAGGTTTGTATATATTCTTGTTTAGTTCTCATGTGAATTTGAGAAAATTGTTTTACAGCCCTGATTTCTCATAGCGAGAGGTAGCTGAATATGGCCACTTAACAATGAGCCAAACACTGATTTAGAGTGTATCTCCCTTAGGTGTACTGAATCAGAAAAAGGCCTAAGGGGCACCAAGTGGGGAAGCCTAAGAGCCAGTGCTTTATAGTCAGGAAGCCTTTCCTTTGAGATAATGTCAGCATTTTTTTTTTTTTTTAAACCTCACCCAAGGACATTTTCATTGATTTTTAGAGAGGGGGTGTGGAGGGAGACATCAGTGTGAGAAACATTGCCTCCCACATGTGTCCCAACCTGGGTGGAGGATTGAGCCTAGGTATGTGTCCTGACCAGGAATTAAATCTGGGACCACTCAGTGTAAGAGATTACACTCCTACTGACTGAGCCACACCAGCCAGGGCTAGCTTTGTATTTTATACTGCCTCTGTGTCTGGCCAGAACTTCTGAGCTTTCAAAGCTATTTTAAGGTCTTGATTCTATAGCCAAGTTGGACTGAGTGAAAGAAACTTCATTTTGATTATTTTTAGCTTTTTCAAATGTACATGGTGTCCTTGGCAATAGAAATAGTCCAGGCCTGGCTGCAGGGTGTGGTTTCATATTCTAATCTTTACCAACCCTGGTTTTTATATTTTGGTACAAAGGTTTGAAGAACCAGATAAAATCATTTCTGCAAATGGACAGCTTTCATGGAGCTAAGGACAGATCTTAGAACAGCCTCAGTAGAGATAAACATTGTAATCTTGCCACTTATGATGTCTAAACTGACCTCACTCATTCCCAGCAGTCTTAGTATCAGTGATAATAATCTAATAATAATATTATTAGTTCTTGTAAAGAGGTGTAGCCAGTTGATAAGGTGTAGCATTTGGTTATTAGTGGAAAGAGTTTAAGATCAGGTATTAGATATGTAAATGTTTTATGACTAAAGCTAGTTAATTTGCATAATCTTTTCCTGGTTGAAAAGCACGTATTAACGTATGTGGGTATTAAGCAATTTTGCAGTTGCTTGATACCCACAAAATAAAGCAATTCTGAGGTTTATTACAACTATATTATTTAATACATGTTATACTGGGCAAATATTGAGCAGCTAATAAGGTAAATAGAGGTATAATTACTAAAAGGGTTGCAAAAGCAATTTGAAACATAGTTTACCTTCCAGAAAATTAGATTAAGGGCGGTATGAGGCAGCAGATAGTATCATTAAAAGGTTAAGAAAATGAGTTACAAATAAAAGTAAAAGGAATTAAGGGCTGGAGACAATCTAGAGAGATCCTGTGAGGGTCCTAAACTATATCCTGTTATTTAAGACCTCATTTCATTTCATTTAACTGGCCAGCCTAAGCCCAATTAAGTGCTCACACTGTCTTCGTAGCACCTGAAGTGTTTAATGGGCTTGGTATATAATGCTTAATATTAGCCAAGCATGTTTTCTAGTTTCACTGCTACTCAGCAACTTTTATAGTATCCTTCACTCAAGTCCCCATCACATTGCCCGTATAAACTAGACACTTTTTCATAAATTCCCAGTCCTCTCCTTTCTCATGTGTTGTATTCTGTCAAAGTGTTAACATACAGTTTTAACCATTCTTTTCTTCCCAGTTTAAAAATTCTCTGAATCGTTGGCTTTTTCATTCCTATGTCTCCCTCAGGACCAATGCTCTCAAACATCTCTCTTCTTTTTCAAATCTTTATTACTTTTTGATTCTCAAGCATTTCAAGGCCTTATACCTGAGTGTTGGAAAATTCACTAATTTCCTGCCTTCTTTCTTCATCCATTCAGCTCCCAAATGGTTATTCTAATAATCTTCCTAAAATAGTACTTTGCAAACCATACCCTGCTCAAGAATCTTCAGTAATTATATCTGTCTAGAACTACCCTGTCCAATTCAGTAGTCACTAGCCATATTTGGCTACCAAGCACTTTGTGGCTATTCTGAATTGAAATGTACTTTCAGTATAAAATACTCAGTTCCAAAAAAGGATGCAAAATAGCAGTATTTTTTATATAGATTACATGTTGAAGTGGTATTATGTTGAATATATTGGTTTAATGTGGCAACTAGATAACCTAAAATTACATTTGTAGCTCTCATTGTATTTCTACTGGACAGCATTCATGACATTCAAAGTCTTCCAGTATCTGGCCCCTGCCCAGCTCCAGATTTACTATTTCTATAGATACTCAACCACAAATGTCTGCTCATTGTCTACAAAACTGCCCTTTCCTACTTCCATACTTTATTACTTGCTTAGTATGTTATTTCTCTTAACTTCCCTATTGTCAGTTCTGTGTCCACTTTATCTTAGCATCCTGTGCTTCCTCTATAGGTCTCATAACATTGGTGATTATACACATGTCTATATTCTCTGCTAGAGAGAGGCCAGGACCAAGTTTGCCAACTCACCTATGTATCTTTAGTTTCTAATACATAGAACATGCTCAGATAGTTCTTGAATTAATAATAGGAACAGTTATGTAATATATTCTCCTTTTATCACTGTGGACTAAGAAATTGCTGCAAAGCAAGGAAATCACCTAAGAACCAGGTTCATTCAAGCATATAACTCTCCAGGACAGCCTTGGAACTAATGTGACTTCTCACCATGAACCAACCAGATTCTTGGAATGAAACCCAAAATCAGATCAAATAACTAGAGCAGCATTTCTCTCAAAGTATGTTATATAGGTCCCAGAAGTTCCAGGATGTTTCCTGGCGTCATTAAAACTTGTACGTTGTGTCTCCTATTTGAACATTCTCAGTACATATATTAGCTAATGACAGCTTTGAGAAGTCGTGCAGAATGTAGGCATACTTCACTTTGACATCCTGTTTTCCAAACATAATTACATTAGACCCCTTTTTTGTTAACAATGCCAGGGTATCAGTGGGCAGATTGGCACCTTCACTGTTAATGTGTGCTTGAATTATTATTTTACGACCTCTAATGTAGATAGCACAACATGCCCATGCAACTTGGGATAACAAAGAGGAAAACGGAATGACATTAAGAATTAAAATGGGGTTTTTGTTCACTAATCAAATCTTAGCCATTCAAATAATTATATGTAATTTCTTTAAGATATTCTCACATAATAAATATATGTAGTTATTCCATTTTGTAGCTTTTAATTTCTTAACATTATTTTCAAATTTGGGATATATAGTACTAGATTTTTGTCAAGTAACTATATTTTTAAACCATTTATTTTTCTGATTTAAAAATAGCATGCTATTTTTAAATTACAAAATAACAAAAGGATAGAGAATACAGAATTCAACACCTAGACATGAACATATTTAACATTCCAGAATGTTTTCTTTAATATTTTTATGCATATATTTATTTAAATAGTTGAAATTTTACTGTAGTTAAAACTTTCTATTAATTTTTCACTTACTGTTGTAAGAATTGTTCCCCATTATTAAAAACAGCGTATTACCATAAAATGTGTGGGTTTTTTGCCATTATGGATAATAGTGTATCTGATAACTGCATAAAGGTTTTTTCCTAAGGTTCAAATTACTTCTTGAGTGTGTATTTCTATAAATAGAATTATTTATTACACTTTGAACATGTTTAAATTGCATTCCAAAGAGATGGCACCAGTTTACACTACTACCAGTAGACACCTATTTATAGTACCATAAAAGAAACTTACAGTGGGAGTGTCAGGGGGGGAGTTAATGTTTACTTTTATAATGCACATTATACTGCAGCTATAGATGTGACTTGTGATTGAGGATGGCAGCCTAGCTTTCATTTAAGATGCTAATGCTTACTCTGAAGTGGGTAGGGATTTTTACCCTATCCAGGCCTTACTTTTCTCTATAAAAGATGGGGTAAAGACTTTCAGATTGCTGTGAAATTAAACGAATTGACGTAAGAAAATGGCTTCTATAATATCTAACATCCCATACATGCTTGAGATAGTAAAATGGTCAGGAGCATGGGCTTTATATCCAAGCTGCCTGGTTTCCAATTCTGCTCAGCCACATAGGAGCTGTAGGGCCTTGAGCAAATTATTTAACCACCCTAATGTTTCCTTACCCGCAAAATAGGGATAACAGTACCTACACTTCATGAAGTGAAAATTAAAAGTTAATTGATACAAAATAGTCATGGATGTAAAGTACAGCATGGGAAATATAGTCAATATTATTATAATAACTAGGTATGGTGCCAGGTGGATACTAGACTCACTGGGGAGATGACTTTGTAAAGTATCTAAATGTTATATCACTATGTTGTACACCTGAAACTGATACAAAATAATACTGAATGTAAACTGTAATTAAAAATAATTTTTTTTAAAAAGGAGGAAAATATAAATAGAGTGGAAAAAATTAATTTATGTAAGGCATTAGTAATAGTGCCTGGCACATAGGGTGCTCAATAGATATTAACTATTTTAACTATTAGTATCAATTTGTTATAGTGGAAAAAACAGGGGCTTTGGATTCAGACAAACTCAAGTCTACATTCATTCTCTATTACTCATTAGTTCTGTTGCATAAATTCCCTGAACCTCAGTCTCATCTACAAAAATGCAAATAGGTGATACCTTCTTCAGAGGATTGTTAGGATTAAGTGGGATGTTATGTGTTCAGTGACTGGTAAGCAATCGGTGTTTAATGTCTCTCATTTCCTATTACTAAATGGTTTATACTCTAAAGTTTCTATATATTAAGTGTGATTAAGAAATTGCTTTCCTCGCAATATATGAATCAACATTGATTAGATTCCCTTTAGCGTTAAAAAAGAGCCTAATAATCCTGGGGTTGTTCTAGGAAATATGCCTGTTATGGTAATGTCTGTAGATAATTCCATTCATTGTGTGAACAACTTTTCAAGTTCAGAAAGAAATGCAACATTACTGTATGCATTCTCATTAGATAGAAAAAAATATTTAGTAATGTCAATTATTCATGCATTCATTGGTTGATTCTTGTATGTGCCCTGACCAGGATTGAACCCACATCCTTGGCATATCAGGATGACACTCTAACCAACTGAACTACCCAGCCAGGGACAGTTGGCTGTATTAATGTTCTCTTTGTTGTCCTTCTAAAAAAACATGAGTTAGTAACTCTATGTATGTGTTGTCTTTGTTTTTAGGGTCCACCAAAATATACAAAATCTGTTCTTAAAAAGGGGGATAAAACCAACTTCCCCAAAAAGGGAGATGTTGTACACTGCTGGTATACAGGAACACTACAGGATGGAACTGTTTTTGATACCAATATTCAAACAAGTAAGTCTAAATGTAATCTTTTTAGCTTTAAGGCATTATAAAATATTTGTACATCAGTGGTTGGCAATACCTTTTTCTTGGCCATCACGTTTTTCCAGAAGTCTTTAGTACCTGTGATTTACTTGGAAGAGGTCTCTTCTGTTTACTGCTTATTGGCTGGGTAAATAAGGACCTCTTTGTCATTGAAAAGCAAAAATAGAGCAGCTTAGTCTAACCTTGGTTAATGTCCCAAAGTGAGGCTTTAGTATGTTAATATAAAAGCAGGATTCTTTTAGTGGTGTAAATATAGGTCCTTCCCCTCTCCCATTTAGACCATAATTGTTTTTCCATCAAGAACTTCCTTGATAAACTACCTAGCTTTCTGAATTCTTTTCCAAATGCATAGTATTATAAGTTTTGAAATAAAGTTAAAGACTTAAATCCCTATGTTTTTTCATTGGAACTTAATTTCATCAATAATTATAAGGAAAATCTGTTTTACAGGTTCAAAGAAGAAGAAAAATGCCAAGCCTTTAAGTTTTAAGGTTGGAATAGGCAAAGTTATCAGAGGAGTAAGTAAAAAATGGCAATATATCAATAGATATTCTGGCACATGCGACTTGTGGCATGGTACCATAAAGAATTAGGATTGTGGATATCATGAAAACAATCTTTGGAGTCTGACAAATTGGTGCTATCATCACTAACTGTTCTGGCACAAGTTAATATCTCTAGGTCTCGGTTTCCTCATCTATAAAATTGACAGTACAGCCTACCTCAAGGCTGTTAAAAGATTAAACATCACTTAAACCATGTAATACAGCAGGGACTCAAATATTTACTTCCAGCTTACCTCTTTTATAATTTTTTTCTTCATAAAATAATTCTTAGAATGTTTGGCTTTTTAAATTTGCCTTGAAGATTCTTGTAAGATGTTACATGGCTGTTGTACCACTTATAACATGATCAATAAAGGTAAAATATCTGTTCCACTGAAGTACTAATAAAAGCAAGAGTTTGTTCTGTAGCCCTCACCCCTCACAATCTAGGCTCAAATACCAGAAAAATCTTTCAAATATAAACATGCCTTGCCCAGTCGGGTGTGGCTCAGCGGTTGAGCGTCGACCTAGGATCCAGGCGATCAGGGTTCGATTCCTGGTCAGGGCACATGCCTGGGTTGCGGGCTACAGCCGATCAATGACTCTCTCATCATTGATGTTTCTATCTCTCTCTCTCCCTCTCCTTTCCTCTCTCTGAAGTCAATAAAGATATATTTAAAAAAAAAAAAAATTTTTAAATACGCCTTTACCCATGAGATAAGGAAACTGAGAAAAACGGAAGTTAGGTAGGCGTCAGCTGTACCTGATCACTGCAGTGTACAAGAGATAAAAGAGCAATGCTGATTATCAGCTTCGTTGAATCAGGTTGTCATGCTAGGGCCCACTTACTTTAAATTGTCTTTACTCAGGACACCAAACATTAGTAAATGAAACACACTTAAATGCAGTTCTGAGGACCCTCAGTATGTTATTTTGTACTGTAGTTAAGTCCTAAAATATGATTCAATAATATCTAGAGCCCAAAATACAAAATAATTTGAAACTAAAGGTTTAGTTGAAAATAACCTTACTGCTACCTGATTATACTAGGTTGACAGCAACTACTTGTCAAATTGAGCTATTTTTCTATTTCGATAACTCATTTGCTTACCAGTAAATTTCTTCTAGTTTATTTTCTTAATTTCCAGTATGTGACAAATCTGCCTTTATCCCTTGAACTTTATGTAACTGTTACGTTTCAAAAGAGTATATACTATTCATGTGTTCTACATTCTTTCATTGTATTTATTTTTGGTGACTGGCCTTAAGATCCAAATTTAGACAAAATGTAGTGGCAACCCAGAAACCTCTCTCATTTCTTTGAGTAGTTTTACCTTCTGCAAAATATATTAATGCTGTAGCATGTAGTTTGTTTTATGAACCCTCATGACTCTACTATTAACAGTTGGGTAATCTTAAGATAGTTCTAAAGTGAGTACTTGTTAGTTTATCCCTATAAAAATAAATTCAGAAGTTTGTCCCATGATAATAAAAGTGTAGCAAAAATTTTATGAGTGCTAATAAACTAGTTTCCATAATGTTTCCACGTTACAAGAGTGCTTTTACATTATATCATTTAAGGCATTTGCGTATTATACTAAAAAAATATTATTTAATACATCCTTTTTTCATTGAGGAAATAAAGGACAATGATTTGAGGACTCGCCCAAGGACATTACCTTGCGACATAATGAAATCCAGTAATAAAATGTGTCGGTTTTTTAATATATAATCTTGCCTGTCTTCTGGTTTTGCATGTATTTTTGAGAACCATTAGTTTTGATTTTATGTTCTTGCCTTTAGTGGGATGAAGCACTCTTGACTATGAGTAAAGGAGAAAAGGCTCGACTGGAGATTGAACCAGAATGGGCTTATGGAAAGAAAGGACAGCCTGATGCCAAGTATCCTTTTTTCCTTTGTAATTAAAGAAAAACACTAAGAAGAATCACCTGAAGGTATGAAAGATGCTGTCTAGGTTAAGTTCCGGGTCAGGAGTCCTGTTCATACCAGTATTCCTGACATTTAGATGCTTTTGTGTCAACACCTCCAATAGTTAATATTTTGTATTGGTACAGAGTATTCAAACTTGAGTTGGAAATCTCCTTTTTTCCTCTTATTCACTCTTAATTTTCAAGACTTAAACTATGAGGTTTAAGTTTTCCTCTGTGAAGCAGTTGTTAATGTTGAAGAGGTTTACTTTGAGGAGTTAAGATGCCTAATACAAACTACTGTAGCAAATGTAGGATGCAGATATGGCTCATGGTAATTTTTGCTACAGTATAATTTCAGGCAATTATAAATGAGTACTCAAATCTCAGAAGTGGAACACATGTTGGGGATTACCATTTGTGAAATGAAGGAGACCACAGGTCCAACTACTGTAAGCATTTGTGGTTAATACTAATGACAGTAACTTTTTTTGTGATAGGCCCAGTTTGTGAACATTAAAAGAAAGAAAAAGAAAAAAAAAAGAGCCATGACTCCAGACCATTCCAGCTAAAACAATCCAATAGCTAAGTGGGAAGGTAGTTTTTTCTGTTGTTGGTTCCATTCCCATTGTACTAATTGGACCAGTTAGAGTAAGTTTGAAAAATAAGTTTTTGGAAGTCCTCTCTAGTCTTATCAATTACAATTATTTGGGAATAGTCTCTTCTAAGCCTATCAAAATGAGTTGGCCAACTGCAGCCCCCTCTCTCATGTGAAGCATCTTAAAATCAACACTCTTCTCTAAACTCAGCATCTTAAAATTCTTTGATTTAATATATACCCAGCTAGATCAAAATCTTTATTTTTGAGTACTGAGTAGCAGTCTTCATTAAGTGGTGGCTAATTTGGAAGTACTAGTTAGGCACCCAGGTAAGGAAGATCCTAGTCCAAGGTAAAGTTATCTAGTCAGCCTATAATCTCTATTAACAAAGATATCTCTATTAGGAACCATTAGGCTGGTATGTATTAGCCTCTGAATCAGCTATACAGCCCCATTCTTTGGAGTTAATTGCCAATATCCAGTCTGCATAATTCTAATTTTAGACTAAGGTTATTGAGAATGAGGAGGGAAGCAATTTTATCATATTTACCTTGACTTCTTCAACAGAATTCCACCAAATGCAAAACTCATTTTTGAAGTGGAATTAGTGGATATTGATTGAAATAGCAATGCTTCAGATCTAAAGACATCCTCAATGGCCTTGAAGAAACTTATGTAACTAATTACAGCTGGTTACTATTATAATGGAAGAGTCAGCTGGAAAATTCAAGGAATTATGTTAGAACTTGTTTACTTTCTCCCCAAACTTTTAAGAAATGTAATCCGTTATACATCCCTGAAATTTAAAATATTTTACTATAGCTGTGTAAAATACTGGTTAAGGAGAACTCATTTTCCTTTTACCTCATGTTGTAAACTAAAAGGCTAAATAAAAATTTACCCAATGTCTTGATTTGTTTGTTGTTCTGATTGTGTTAACCAGGACTAAAACTTCATCAAACCAGGGAGTAACAGTCAAACTGTCTGGACAGCTTTGCCAGGGACATTCATCTTTAAATCTTTAAATATTCCTATACAGTGAGAAGGCAAAAGCACAGAGATTGAGAAGAATCAAAAAGATAAAAAGGTCTAAGAAATTCTGGCAAGAAGAAGATAGCTGAATTGAAGAAAAGCATACCTGAAAATCAGTGAACCACCACCAATGGTGAATATAAAGTTAATATTAGGTGATTCCCCCAAATAAATTCATAACAATTAGTGGATGAGTCTTCAATTTTATTACAAAAATGAAGATGATCAGTTTGATCAAAATGAAAGGTTGCTCACAAATTTACATGAATATTGTAAATACAAAGTCTCCTGAAACAACATACTTTTGATATGATTTTCATTTTTTTTTAAAGGGATGCAAACATTTGATTTTCTGATTTATAATCTCTATTTCAAGACATAGTATTTTAACAGTGTATCTTTTCTGCAGTTAGATCAAAATTCACAAGGATAATTGAAACACACAGACAAAACCTGGTCAGCAAAGGTTAAAAATCCTTTTCTGGTGGGGTGTTTTTTTTTCTCTTTTTTTTACAGAGAGGTAAATCCTTAATAACCAGCCCTTATGTATTTTCAGAATCTTACACTACACTGACATGATTTGCAGTCAGTTTTTTTCCTACCCTTAAGGCTACAAAACTCTGTTGCAAATGCATTGCAAAAGAATTCTAGACCACTTAATGCAAAAATCAAAAAAATAGTTCTCCAATAAAAAGTAAACTTTATAAATGGTAGGAAATAGTATCTGTGGTAAGCTACTAAGTGACATTTTCCCTTATTACTAAACAAATCATGTTAACACAGAAACAGGGAAGACAGGTTATCAAATGACAAGCTTATGTTTACATCCCTCATTAAAAAAAAAATAACTTCATACTTTCCACACACTCCATCTGATATTTACAGTTTCCCATCAAGTTGGAGGGGGAGGATAATACTGTCCATAATTCCAAGGATTCTGGTAATTGTACTGAAAGGAAAAAGCAAACATGTTAGCATACTAGAACTATGGCTGAGTTCATTAAAAAAATCATTAAAGCAGGTATGTGTAAGAAAACAGGCATGTATTCATTGCTCAAATTCCAGGACTTAACCACAAAAGAATGTATTATACAATCTAGAACAGAAGCAGAGTTGTTTCTTTCTAAAAAAAAAAAAGACTAGCCCAGCCGGACATGGTTCAGCAGTTAAGCACTGACCTAGGATCCAGGAGATCGCAGTTCAATTCCCAGTCAGGGCACATGCCCGGGATTCAGGCTCAATCCCCAGTCAGGGGAGTGCAGGAGGCAGCCGATCAATGACTCTCTCATCATTGATGTTTCTCTCTCTCTCTCCCTTCCTCTCAAATTAATAAAGATATATTTTAAAAAGAACAAAAAACAGCCTAATTTATGCTTTTCTAATAACATCTATGAACAAAAAATTCATTTATAGTTATGTGAACTCACTTGATACCAGGCACTATAATTATATGCAGCTTGATTTGCCTGTAAATCACCATCAATCATTTGTGTAGATGATGAAGTTGTATCTTCTGTGTGTGCTTTCTTTTCCTCTGGTTCTTCTGATCTAAAAAAAAAAAGTCAAATGGAAACTTTAACAACTTCTACAGATAAGTTTAACTTTAAATATTACCTGTGTACTACATTTGTTTTACTGACATTCTCAACGACTCAGTTGTATACAAAATTTTTTCAAATTATGAAAATAAAGTATCTGAACTACCACTATATAAAGATAATATTTAAAAATATGTGTCTTCTCCCTCAATCTAAAAATCAATAAACATATCCTCAGGTGAGGATAGAAAATACATATATATTTGTCTTTAAAGGCATTTACACAATGAAAAATGTCTTAAGCATCCGTTCCTGATTCAACAGATATGTACATACCCATTTTCTGCTTTCCTTTTCAAAGAGTCCTGTTCTTTTAGGAGTGTCTGATGTTCATCATAAGCATTCAGAAGCCTGAAAAGAAATTTTAAAAAATAAATCCATCAGAATATACAAAAACCAAGATGTTAAATTTTCAAAATTAAGTTATTTCTACTTAGGAAAACAAAGTATGTTACAATAAACAACATTTGATTTTTATTTTATTTTTTTAAAATAAGCCAGCAGGCAAATCTGTCCCCAGCTACCTTTTTTTATTTGGGAAACCACTGCCCTGTACTTTCCTTCTCACCCTATGTGGTTCAAAGATACAGAGCTGGCTAATTATATTATACTCCTGACCAATGACTGGTTTACAGGTGAGAACATGACCCAAGCCAGGAGTTCCAGAATTTCTGATGAACTACTGGAAAAGTGTTTTCTGTACCACAGCTGGCTAAAGCTGATGGGATGCTTACCAAGAGCTACCTGTGTTTACCATTTCTAATGCATGGGGAGAACCTGCCTTAGAATCTACAACTAAGACAAGGACCTTGATGATGTTTTTGCCCAATGCAACATGCGACCTGGCAATTCTACAATTTGTGTATTTTAGAATCTAATTTAACAATGCTACTGAAGATACCTGCCACCAGTTAGGATAAAGTATATTTAAAATTTGGCCATGTGATAAACTGAATTAGAACTAATACATAACTACAGTATAATTGGTTATTGATTAAAAAGATTAGTTTTAATAAAATTCTGATGTGACTTGTAAAATTGTTAATACCAGTAATCTCAGGTTGAATGTTTACTTATTATCAATCACTGTAAATGGATTAATTTCCTTAACGCCTTTAAGAACCTGTGAGTTAAGTGAGGAGAGGCTCAATCTCCTTGTGAAAAAATTTGAAAACAGGAATACATAAATCAGTAAGTGACAGAGCTAGGATTTAAGCCTACACCTGTCTGACTTCAACATTAATTCATATCGATTCATTATACTGCTACTTAAGTTTTTAAGTGGCTCATTTACTTTCCATATTATTCCTTTTTAAAAATTTCAACAACATACTACCTGATACTAAATACCCTCCTTAACTGTATTTGCAAGGGCCTAATTGGCATCTTTGTATTGAGCTTCCCATTTGTCTGCCTATTATTGCCAAATTAAAGTATCACTTAATCGCTATCAACTCTAATTGCTTCCTACTGTCGATTGTGAACTGCATGTTCTCTGAACTCAGACTAGCTTTCAAAGCACAGCACAACCATCATTTCTACTACTTCAGGAAACCCTCCCAACGAACATTATTTTAACTTGTTTTCACATTTTATCCTCTCAGCTTCTCAGTATCCAGTAAACCAAATGAAGCCCCACCTCCCCTATGAAGGGTGGGAAACCCATTCAGATCCTGAGCCTTGTTACATGCACTTAGATTTTCCTCTGATCACCATACCATCCAACTAGACTGAAAGCTAGAACTACACATCCCATTGCTTTTTTTTTTTTTAATCTTCACCAGAGGATACTTTTTCCACTGTTTTTCAGAGAGTGGAAGGGAGAGAGAGAGCAAGAAACATAAATGTGAGAGAGACATCGATTGGTTGCCTCCCACACGCACCCCCACCAGGGCCAGGGATCAAGCCTGCAGCTGAGGTACGTGGCTTTGGCCAGAATCGAACCCGGGACCCTTCTGTCGGGAGCTGCTGCTCTAACCGGCAGAACCGGCCAGTGCTCATTTCTTTTATATACTTCCTTCAGTGCAAAACAAAGAAATTAAATATACATGAGATGCTTAAGAGCACAGACTGTGCAGTAGGTTCTAAACCCAGCTGCACAATGTTAATAACTAATTCCAGCTGCATAATATAATAGCTAAGTGACCTTGGAAAAAATGCCTTTTGCTCTTTAAACCTCTTTTCATCCAAAGAATAACAGTACCTATACCCTTCATTAGACTCTTATGTATTTTACATTAGATAATTCTTATAAAACATTTCATTGAAGCCAAGCACATATATATACCATTGTATTAAAATGTAACTCACATTAAATGATTTTGTCTTTAACTAAAATTTTACTCAGCCATCAAGGATGTATTTACACACAATGTACTGACTGTACCACAGACACAATATATATGTTTTTTACTTAGCTAATAGCAAAAATAAAACCAAATCTCAACATACAAAGTTGGAAGAAAAAAAAAGAATGCATGCAGACACATGTAAATACAGACACAAAAATCACTTATTTTATCAATAGCTATTTCAGTGAAAATCACTCTAAATTAGAGTAATAAGAGAAGGCACATGCCAAACAGGAACTGGGATATCTCCCTACTAGATTCATGTATGGGTGGAATCACAGCAACACTCTAATTTCTACTCTTCTATTTTGCAAATTTAAATCTTAAACTTGTGCTTTTCCCAAATCGCCTAGAGTGAACCCTTTTACCACCCTCAACTTTCAGCCTTTTACAATGCACGAAGATGAGGCCATTAGGTATCATCTGTAGAACCACGTCCATCCTCTTTTCCAATCTGAAATAAAATGACATTCCTATTCCAGATTAATCCTATCTACCTTTAGTGGCCTATCAACAAATGTTTCTGTGTTTCAAGGTTCAATCCTTGACCCATTTCCTTTTTCATGGGATTGCTGCCTCCTGCCTTCCCTCATCCACTCATTGTTTAAATTACCAAGCTAAAAATTTGAAAACCGTTTGGAAGGAAATAAAAACCGTATGTCCTACTATTAAACACATAAATACATTTGCAAAACTGAATTTACCCCATATACCTGATGAAAAAGTAACATAGGCAAACATTTTAAATCTAACAATATATTAATTTATACTAATCATCAAATGCCCAACCAGAATTATCAATGCTCATTTACTATTCAAATAGATAATATATAATTAAGATCTTACTTATTAACATCTGAACCAAAATCTTCAAGAAATTCCACTTTTCTCTGAGAAAATGTAATTCTCATTTTAATAGGTAATGAACCATG